GTCTTTTTCGCATCTGAAATTAAAATCAACAGTACAGCATTGAGATGCACCTAGTTTAAGACCATTTAGTTGAAACTATTTGTTAACTTCGGACAAGAATCTGTTCAAATGAGAACAATCCAAAGCAGAAACTACTGGGACAGAAATCGTTAGGTCATCGGTATATTCAGTGAAGTTAACTTAGGAAGAATGCGGGATGTAGTCATGTACAATTTTAACTTCTATGTGTAGTTAAGATTTACCTGATTTTATTCTAACTACCATTATGACTAGCGTTTTGTAGGCTTTCTCAAGTTTACGCTAAGTTTATTATTTCCTAAAATTGGCATAAATTCAAATGTTACTGGTGGACTTATATCCTAATTCTTTCATTAGTTGATTTTATTATACAGTAGACTGTTGTATGGCCGATATCCCATGAAAACCCATATCATTTACACATTAGCTTCACATGTAAATATTCTCTGCAAAATCAGCCTGTTTAAAATTTAAGCCTAATTTTAGTTAGGCAAAACAAACACACTTTAGCTGATACCTGTTTTCTCATTTACTCAATAGCTGTATTGTGTTGAGTAAGGGTGAATATAACTCATTAGCAAAATTTACTCACTCTCCGTTTACTTGTTTATTTATTATTCTAGTTTGCAGTATGGCTCACTTGAAAAGTAGTCATCAGGTAAATAAAATTTTAACTTATAAAATCACTTTTAAGTTTAATTGAAAATATTGCATGTTTGAAATAATTTATTGAATATTTCTTATTCACCAGTAAATGTTCTTTTCATAGCATAAGCACTTAAACCGGATAAAAAGTGTTTTATCCTATCCAGAGAAGAAATGAAAACCATAAAGAATTCTTTCGATTAGTATACATAATAATCTTTATTCTTCTATTGTTGTGGTATAAATTTACAAATCAAGTGCTTTTATTTCAGTCAGTTACGAACATACATTAAACACATGTATGTATGTACATATAATTTTAGGATTTCACTATGAGTTGACATGAGTTAGAGAACCATTGGAAAACCTGGGAGTATTGGACAGCTGCCTCGTCCTAGTTTGGACTCTTCATCAGTACGCACCCATCGAGATAACACCCCGGGACCTTCCGGTTACAAGACAAACTAGCTAGTAGACCATTAAGCCACTGGGACGCGGTTCAGCGAACCATGATTTCCGACTTCTGCCGATTCACGAAGAGTCCCAAACCAAGATCAAACAGCTGTTCAGTACATCCAGGTTTTCCAGTGGTTCTCTTACCGATGTTAGTTCATGATGAAATCCTGAAAACAGTCAAATCCTGGCAAGCCAATACTTGAATATAAATAATCGTTTTGCCATTTCTCCAACGTATGGATAAGTGAATGAAGATTACTACTTCTGAATAGCTAAGATATTTGTTTTCGTTCTACATAAGTGAAAATAAAAAGTTATTTTAACAGAAATAGTTAGTCTGATATTGGTCACCGAACAGAGTGTTCATTCAGCTTGAATTATTCTCTGATCTAATACATTTCGTTAGTGAACGTCTCATTACTATTAAAGTCATCATTTTCTGTGTGTCAGTGATGCCCAGAATTCTTTAATTGTATTCTACTTATTTAACTGATGTTATTGTGTAGTGTTTCTGTGAGTTATTAAGGTGTTGCTATTTTAAGACTCAGTTTGTATGCATCCCTTTCCTGTTAAACCAGCACATTATTCGGCTGCAAATTTTATAATAAACTTTCACAAGATAAGCTAACAAATCCTATATTTGTAACCTGAGTTTTTCTTATGTACATTTTTATACAAATATAGAGCAATAGCTTTAGGATATTAGTTTAAGTGATCGAAATTAAGTAACCCAACATGTGTTCATAAATCCATGCGAATATGTCTTTAATTTTGAAATTTGAAACTAAAACAAAAGTTTTACACATGGTGGAATTCGAAGCACCCACCTAGTGGTTGTAAATTTAATAATCCACTGAGCGAGTTAGGAGGACCATTGGCTTGAATCACCAGTGGCATCAAATCGAAGTCATGTTTCTTGTCATGGAACTGTTATCTCAGTAATATCACGGTAAAAGAAGGATAACTGGCATTAAGTCATCTTATCTCAAAAGCTGTTTGTAGAGATGACTACTTAATGCTGTATGTTACGGAAAGCGTCGGTTGCTTTTCCGGAATAATCACACACAACGTAATTATGTGATGGCTAAGATGCACAGCTTCTGCATTTGCGTTTAAGGTGGTCACCGATTTCCCAGGAATTGACTAATTCACAAATGAATTATTATATGGCTCTTATAGCTCACTGGTCAATGTTGTTAAATAATTTTAAGATCCAAAACGGATGATATTATAGAAAACAAATCTGTAATGCCATTAAGATACGTTCTATTTAGTTTATCCCTTTGTCCTGGCGCGGAATTATGCTCCTATCCATCCCAAGCAAATTACTAAGCCTCATCATCCTGGAGAGAATCAAACACGCCCATCTGGATGAAAAACTCCAACCGAAACAGGCTGGATTCAGGAGAAACAAGTCATCCATCAATCAAATTGCAACACTGCGAATAATCATTGAACAGAGCGTGGAATGGCAGTCACCTCTCTATCTCAACTTCATCGACTTTGAAAAGGCCTTCGACAGCGTCAATCGAGAGGTGATTTGGAAACTACTTCGCTACTACGGGGTGCCACCGACAATTATACATCTCATCCAACAGCTGTACGACAATTCTGCATGCCAAGTAATCCACAACGGGAAACTCACGGAATCCTTCGAAGTGAGGACAGGAGTAAGACCAGGCTGGCTACCTACAATCGCCAATGATTTTCCTGATTGCAGTAGATTGGATAATGCGACAAACAGTGGGCAATGAGGAAACAGGGATAAAATGGACACACACAAAATCTTGGAGGATCTGGATTTCGCCGATGATATATGTCTGATTTCCCACAAACTGGAAGATATGCAAGCGAAAAGCAACAAGTTGACAGAATAAGCATCCATAGAAGATAGGCCTTCAGGTGAAAATAGAGAAAACACAGGTGATGAAGATTCCTGGCCAACAGCAACAGCAACAACAACAACAGGCAACAGTCAGCATAAATGGAAGAAATCTGAAAGAAACAACCTCCTTTACCTACCCACCTACCTGGGAAGCATTCTTTCAACTACAGGCGGAACTGACGAGGATATCAAAGCAAGGATAGGAAAAGCAAGACCAGCTTTCACTACTCGCCATCAAAAATAAGATCCGGATTTTCAGCTCCAATGAAGAGCATCTCATACAAACTACAGACCTTCATTAAAAGTTGTCTTCGCTCAATACTCAAGATCAGATGGCCTGCCAGAAAAGATCAGCAACAGAGATCTCTGGGAGTGAACCAACCAGGAACCGATTGTGAAACAAATAGGCAGGAAGAAATGGAGATCGATTGGCCATAGTCTGAGGAAACCATCAAGTGACATCACTAGACAAGCCCTCGAGTGGAACCCGAAAGGGAAGCGGCGAGTTGGTCGTCAGTGCAAGGGTGACTTGGAGGAGGTCATGTGAAGAGGAGGTAAAAGCGTGTGGGCAGACTTGGAGCCAGGTGAAGACTCTAGCAGAGAACCGAACGCAATGGAGACGCACGGCTGAAGCCCTATGTTCCTCTAGGAATTAAAGGAAACAATAATAATAATTTGGCATCATTGTTGAATGATCAAAGATGCGTCCTTTCACGTTCGATGGAAGTTATGAAGGACCACTTCTGTTCACAAGTTATCATTTTGAAATCTTCAGTCTTAAACATGCATAAGAGACAAACTTTTAACGTTTACTGACATCAGGCCAATTAACGTGGATGAAATATTTTGATATATGGGGTGAAATTGCTTTCCTAATGTCCTGGATCAGTTAGTGCTGACCTATTCATATTACGAAATTCAGCTGAACAGTGAAAATAAAGTATGTGAAATCATAATGACCTTAGAAATATTGGCTTCATGCACTTGGCTTGCGTATTTTAAATCGTATCAATTTACGGTCCCACAAGATCATCCTCTGGGTTGACTTGACAGATCACTATTAGTACGTCTAGAAATTCATTGCAAAATGGGTTACTAGTGCATCGTTAGTAGTAAAATTATCTGATTCCAGTATCGCTTCCCCCAAAAGATGGTATTTTGACTTAATATAGTAGACAGATGTTTAATCTGCACAAACATTTAATTTTTTGCAACCAGCTTACTCACTTAGATTCTTTTAAAGTTTTAAGGTATATGGGTATCACAAGAAGTCTTCATATTGGTATTTTTAACTTTTTAGAGTTACATATTGTCACCTTCTTAAAATATATATATATATATCACAGTCAGTATTACCTGATTGTACAAAATACATATTTTGATTATTTTGATTTCGGGAAATAAATTACTCCGATCAGTGATGGATACAAGTGCACGCACATACAAACAAATAATTATGCATAATTTTACAATATAATTTCCACTCATATCAACCAATCACATGTATTTCTTTTGACAAGCTTTTCAGTTCACTAATTTTTAATGAAGCTTCTGAATTTATATTGACCAATCGTAATGAAGAACATTTTATATGTTTGTTCAGTATTAAATTAATGTAACAATTAAAAGTGGATTTTTATCTTGTACTTATGTAATGAATCAAAGAGGTGGACACAATGACTACCACTGCTTTTTCATATGTCACTTATTTACTATCTCGATATTTTTACTTTATCAGAAATCCCTATTTTATCATAAAGGCATGCTAAATAAAACATGTCACTGTTTACAATATTCCTTTCCATGATGTTCGAAAAGTATACCCCTATTCATGTTTTGCTTACTCTTCATGAGTAAATATACATTTCTGTTGGTTTTATACAGTCGCCAGTCTTAATAAATGTCTTACGCATGCAAAGAATAACAACAGATACTTTCTATAAGTGAGAGAATTAAACCGAACTAATAGTATTCGTAGATATGGAATCAAGAAAGCATGGAGTCTAAAATACAACCAATTATTATGAATTCTCATTCAGAAGGTTTATCGTCTACCAATCCAAATGAAATTAATCCTGAGTCTAGTAGTGCTATATCGTATACAACGATGTTGAAGAATTCAACTGTTATCAATAAAGGTTTAGGTATTATTGAAAAATTTAAAATGGGATCATTATTGTCCGACCTGGGATCAACAAACAAATCTGTTAAAAGTGAAGATTTTAAAGAAGACGTAAATCAACAGCAACAACAGTCACAACAACAAGTGCAACAAGTACAACAGAAACACCCAATCCCTATATCCTCCATAAATTCAGAATGTGTTGATTCACGTGCTGAAATGCAAGACACCTCTATCACTGAGACTTCGAAAACTCACCAGCTTGCGCCTTCATTAAATTACGAAAACAACAGCAATAAAAATAAAAGGTTATTCTTTTCGAATGAGTTAGCCAAAGATGAAAAAGTCACACGATCAATAATTAAGAAACAGTCACCATCAAAACAACTTCGCACAACACATTCAAGCAACAGAATGAATGCAATGCCTCATTCAAAAACTGTGCATGGTTACAAAGATATTGCGCACGTTAGTCTTGAAGCTGCACCAAAATCTAGTAACCTACCTAATTCCAACTCAGGATATGGAATTAAAGGATCACCAGTGACTATGAGATCTAAGAGTAGAGAGAGATCATACACAGACAACACAAACCATTATCAGTATGACAAGTATCATTTATATGGTGATGGGAATGAAACCTATGGATGGGTTAATAAAGACCCCAGTGAATACAGTAGGGCAAATACTTATGGGAATTCGGCTGACTGTACAAGTTCTTCAGCAGCATTAAAAGCAAATGTTTCTACTGTCTCCGTTTCAGGCATGCATCACCAACAAAATAAAATGCACTCAAAATATTGGAATAATAATGATTTTAATTATTTATCGAAGTCTTGCAATTGCATACTGTATAATTCACCGAGACAAGAGAATTACTGGAAGACTGTAGACTCAGATAAAAGTAACAAACTGTTGGATGAAATACATAGGATGTATATTCAGCTAAAGGAAAGAGACAGTCAGATTAGAGAACGCGATGCTTTCATACGATATTTACAAAGTGTCTTATACAGACGTGATCAATTAATTCAGCAGCTTGTGAAGCAAGTACCAGATCCACATATTCATCAAGAATACTATGATTTATTAAACGAATGGGAGAGATATGCAAAATCTAATCCATCCAAGTGTTCTAACCCTTATCAATCACAGGTAGTTCATAAAGGTTTGAAACAATCTGATAAATCAGAAACGCTAAGTCATAGTATGCCGAGAAGATGGAATCCTGAAAAACTAACACTTGGTCATAACAACAGAAATTCGTATTTGAAAGAAGATGTTCCACCTGTTGTTGACCAGCGTGAAACGTATTCTGGAGAAGTTACTAAAAGTAATGATATCACAATAATAACTCCAATACCTATTATTACTACTGATAGTAGCCCTCCTAATATTACTACTCAAGGAAGAAAAGATATGTCTTATAATAAAATTCAGTATTCTAAGTCGGGTTCATTTGTTAGTGTTGATAGTTCAAGTGATCACAGTGTTGGTAATGCATCTAACAATTCCATTATTGACTTGGGAAAGGACAGTGATAGTAATAAACCAGCAGGAATCGGTGTGAAATTACAAATTTTATCCACGTCACGTGTAAAACGTCATGCTATATCTGGTGAATCAGAAAAGTATCTCCCACCACCAACAAGTCACTTATCGAACTGGCCCAAAATTGAAAAGCCGGCACAGTAAGTGAAATTTGGCGTATCAGCATAACTGTATATATTGTACAATTTGTAATTCCTTCTTAAATGCATATAAATATTCAGAATGTCAATTAATGTTTCGGAGAATATGCATCATTTGAGTTTTAGATTGCATATGTCTCAGTGTTTTGCTTATTTTCAACTGAAACTAGACCACATTATTTCTATCTAGACATTAAAAAACAAAAACAGATTAACAAAAAACACATTTTTGATTAATTCTCATTTGACTTTACAATTATATAGAGTAAGCGTTCAACACAGACATTCTTTACTATCATTGTTCGTGGAAATCAGTCTAGTATATTCAAGAAATCAGGAACTATTCACAATTAAGTGAAGCTTTCTGACCATGATGATGAAAATATTTAAATTATGTTTAGGGGCTTCTTACTACCAGATGCTGTAAAGATAATGAATAGACAAGTGACTCCTGAGAATATTATGTTTTTCAGTAGAGTTATGAAATGAAATTGTTTAGTCTGTGTAAAAGGTTATAGAGTTGACTGGTGAGAGGAAAGTATATCCACTTAAACTAATCCGTAAGTGATTTTAACTGGTTAATTGCTTATTTAAATATGGCTGTAACTGTGAGAAATGAAAACAAAAATGACATGTGAAGCAGAAGATTGCCAGGAAGAAACAATAGTTTTGTTGCAGAATTCAAAGTGGTAACACATTTTACAGGCAGAAAGGAAGCTTAGTGAATTATGATTCGATGTATATATCATGTGTACAACACAGGGTATGCATATTTTTTACTGGTAAGCATCAAAATACTTATATTCTCTATATGAGAAGTCTAGTGGCTAAAATATTATGCAGTGAAAACTTTGTAAAATTAAAGCGTTTATTGTGTTAGAATTTACATCAATAAAAAGTCTAATTTTTGTGGTAATAAGTTAGTGTGGATTTATTAAAATCCCTCAACTGCCAGTAACAATTGTATGTGGAAAGACCTTCACATTTTGAAAAACATGTTTTGTCAACTATCCAGAAATATTATCCTTCATTTTCTAAAAATACGAGACATTGAGAAGTGGTCGCGCTATATCGTGAATTTGCAGAAGTTAGAATTCATGGGCTGGCCATTAGATCGGGTCCCAGCGGCTTGATGGTCTACGAGCTAGCTTGCCTTGTAACCAGAAGACCCTGAGTTCGAGCCCCGTTGGGTGTGTGCTGATGAGTAGTCCCAAACTAGGACGAAACACCTGTCCAGTACACCCTGCAGGTTTTCCACTGGTTCTCTACCTGATGTCAGCTCATAATGAAATCCTCCAACCAATCAAACAAAATCCCTACAAAAACCAGTACCTGAAAAATAAACCAATATTTGAGAATAATGTTTAATTTGATAATTTGTTTGGTCTTGCAAAACACAGTCTCCAGTGTACTAGACTACACTATCACTTCCACTTCAATATGAGCTACTTCAGAGTCTATTCTCAAAGTGGGAAATATAAACTAATTATGTGTTGATAGTTTATCAAGTCGGCAAAACCATCTTTTAGGACTAAATAATAAATTAACATTTCATTGTTAGAGGGAACTTCTTCTGTAACCTGAATGAAGCTAAACACTATCGAGGGTTTCAGAAATCCTCCATCTATTGTGCAGTAAATGATGGTATTCTATTCATAGTGATGTTAAGACAACATAATCAAATGTTTTTATAAATTGCGGTTTTAAGAAGTAATACAGGAAAATGATTATGTTTCTACTGAGGAATAGGATCATCACTAGTGTTCTAAGCATTGTTGGCTATTACGTGATTATTCATTATTAAAAAAGTTTTTGTATTTCCCAATCAACGAAAAACAGAACGATATTGTTTATTACTGACGTCTCTCTATTTAATGCTAATAGCTTCATCAAAGCATTATTAAACCAGAATTTACAAAATTTCAGACTATTTATAACAAATTTAATCATCGTTCATCAGCATGGGATAATTTTTCGCGTTGCCAAGTTGGCCAGTTGGTAAAGATAACAAAACCAAGTGTAGATTGTTGGATTTGTAAATTACAAAAGCAGTGTGTGTTTGCATAATGAAATTGCTTACCATATTCGTGTTGGTTTTGTCACTTCATGGAAGGGGGGGTCAAATTCTGTTTTAGTCCATCATTCCTATTCAGACAATTTGAATTCCACTTGATATGAAGTGCTTCCGATGATATTAAACGTTCTTTGTGATTTCTGAAATGTTTCTGGATTATTTCATTATTGTCAAAATTATTGACTTAATTACTAGGTGTTAGTTTTGAAAAGTCAAGATGAATTTATCAAGAATCTCTGAATGACTCTTGCTTTGACATTTTACCATAATTTTTGATCAGTACGCAATCTCTTTACAGGGCACTGTGTGAAAACTAAGCGAAAACTAATGGAACTACTATACACATAACAACTATAATGGTATCACCAGGGATTATTTCCAGAGGGTGAAGTTATTTTCAGCACAGATGTAGATTAAGGGAGAGAAGCGAAATTCATTTGATTAATGGATATATCGTACAGTAAAACACCATTGTTTACTGAATGATTTTATAGACACAGATTGTTATTCATTATCATACCATTCGATGAATAAAACTGTTTCACTGCGTGACATGACAAACAGACAGATTAATATGGAATGGCATACTGGCACTGAGAGCAACTTTAACACGTACACTGGAAACGAGATCATGAAATAGAGGGATATAAATGCAGGAAAAGTTCTACTTTTCTCTATTATTCATTCTATTTATTAAATGAGTCCTTGGTATACGTGTTACAGGGAACATCACCGCCGACTGTAATGCAGACTGGAGGTTCTGAGTTAGGTAGAGGTGAAGAACAACTGTTTGTAACCAATAAAGAAATGACATCAAAGGGAAATAAACTATTTCAACAGTTAGCCAAAAATGTAGTTAGTATACTAAAAGGCTAAATTATTGTGAATGAAATTTAAATAGCTTGTTCATTTGTTTTATTAAATAATTTTCGAAAGATAAATCAATATGAAGATGGATTATTTATCGTTAAAAGGAAATAGAGAAAAACAGAAATTTCCTAACTTAGTTTACTTAAGAACTCTATTATTTTTTACAATCCATCATTCTTTTAATCTGAAACACTGGTGGCGTAAAACATTCCGATAAGTTTAAGTACTATGCTGGAAATTAGAATAATACTAGGAAACAGGTGGGAGTACAGTGGAAGTTCATTGGAATTGATTATTATCAATGTTGTCGTTAGAAAAAACTGTTTGTTTTGATTAACTCATATATATATATATGATGATAAATTACAGAGGCAATATCGGGACCAAACAGAATGTTTGTATTCGTCACGCAATTAGATTAACTTATGTGTGCACAGTATATCTTCAGATTATGAATACATGATAACGTGTGTTTTATGTGCGAATTTCACTCGATCAATCCAAGTCTTTTTACATGGCCATCGAAAAATAAAGAAAAATCGCTTTTTACTAAGATATTGTATAATTAAAACAAAATTAATTTATCTTGTAAAATAAGCGTACAAAAATTAATTTTTTACAAGTGAGTTCCATTCCCTTAGGTAGATGATTTTTCAGTCATACTGAAATTTTGAAAGTGATTGATGACTTGGCTACATTTCAGTTAGAAAGTAAAATAGGAATTATAAAGAACTGAATTAAAAAGCTGAAATCTTCCATTATGGTTAAAATTTATTTTGATAAAGTCACACAGTGTTATAAAGTAATGCTTACTGGTGACGTTTCGAATACAGTTGATTGCTCATAATCATATCCATAATGGAATTATACTCTACCACAATGCCCACGTTTTATCCTTATATCAAGCTGAAATCTTATCCTCAAGTGGGTAATGCCAGACTATTTTAGAATGACCCAGTGATATCAATGATCCATTTCGGAATCTCCCCTTCACTTTTTTTTGTCACTGTTCATTGGCTTCGAAAATATAGATTGATGAGTTCATGCATGCTATGATATATGTGGAATAATGTCGAAATGGGTATATCTAATTTTGCCGTGATGTGTTTATCTAATCTTAAGGTCTTAAAACACTAACACTGAGGTGACGTAATATAGTTATGAATTAGTTGTCAAATATCTGGATAAATTAGGTACCATAGTTTTAAAATTATTTCGCAATTTTTTCAGAAGTAATTTTCGACTGACTCACTCAGTAAACCACTGTTCCTTGAAGTTTCAGTAGCACAAGTGTTTTTGCGGAGTAGAGTCGCTAGCTTCACACTCATCCATCCCTCTTTACCTGGCTTTCTACTGGCTAAACTAAGCAAAGGAGTGTGCTGGTCGGCCATCGAAACCCAGACCATTTGTTGGTTGGCCAGTGTTCTACTACTGCACCATCGGCGCCAACTGCTTTCAACAATTTCTGTCACGTTAAATGAGTTTCGCTTTAATGCATAAAAGTATGCGATTCAGATTATAACATGTTTATTCCTGATATTAGAAATTTGCGTCTGCTGTAGAATTTCACTATATGTATATACATATATATTCACAATTGACGCTAGTAAACAAACGGTAATTACAAAACTCCATAGAATTTCTGTTCGGTTTCGCGAGTTAAATTAAATGACTCATCGACGTAGAATCTTACAGCCGATAAAAAATACAAGGTATTCGGAATAACTGCAGTTGTTTTACTTAGCTATGTTAGTGGCAAGACATTTCGAGCCTCCATGTTGACAGATACTTTTACACCAGTAATATCAACTGAGATCATAAGACAGTGCATGCGTAATGAGTGAAGATGCTTTCTCAATGACTCAATTGAATTAACAAGTGTGTTTAGAAAACTGTTCGGTTTTGAATTGTGAACACAGTGTGCACATACCGTGTTACATATACATCCTATTTTTATTTTGGTAAGCGTATACCGACTCACATCACTTTAGCCTCGGATTTGTTGTGTTTATTTAACTGGTCAATGGGGACTAATCAATGTCATGTGTCTAGTCCT